CACCATCTTCGCCTACGGCACTTACGCGGATTACCTGGGTGAGGCCGCGCCCGGGGCGGTGGGCACAGCGCGGGGCAGGGCCCTAAGCACCCCGGCCCGGGGATGGGGACCCCGCGGGGTGGGAAACGCGCCGGAGTCATGGGGTGCTGCGGGTACTCCCTCCCCAAACAGCCCCTCCGGGCAGCACAGAGCTCTCCCTGTCCCCAGACAGCCCCCGCTGTGTGCCGCGGGGGTCTCCCTGCCCCAAACACCCTCCTGTACAGCCGTGCCCCTGTCCCGACACTCTTGGTTGTGGTTTGGGCCCCAGACCCCTGGACTACCTGACTATAATTTATGCTGCTATTTACCAGCTGCCAAAGAACGTCTTGATAAAGGTGTTGTTGAGGAGTGGGTGAGGAGAAAGACTTGGATATACATTGGGATGTGCAGACCCACATAAATAAGGCATGGGACAGCTTGAGAGGATGACTTGAGGCTGATGGGAGGAAAAGGTCTTTTGAGCTTTGATGAGGATGGCTTGGCAAGGTGAAGCGTTGCTTGGGGGGTTGGTGTGTGAAAGGGTGTGGTGCAGATGCTTCTGTTCAAGACTGGGAAATGAAAAATGAAGCATAAATTCTAATGCCCTGTTCTTTCCCCTGACAACAGCTGAAGCAGCAAACCTCCCTCCCTTGACGGAGGCTCAGAAGAATAAACTGAGGCACCTGTCTGTTGTCACTCTGGCTGCCAAGATCAAGGTAGTGGCCCTGTTTTCCCCCAAGTTCTCCTCCCACTGGGATTGCCTTATGCTAGTTACCATCATGTTTCCACAGTGCATCCCCTACTCAGTGCTGCTGGAGCAGCTACAGCTGAAGAATGTCCGGCAGCTGGAGGACCTAGTGATTGAGGCTGTGTATGCAGATGTGCTGCGAGGGAGCTTGGATCAGCGGAACCAGCGCCTGGAGGTGGATTACAGCATTGGGAGGGACATCCGGAGGGAGGAGCTAAGCACCATCACCCGCACATTGCAGGAGTGGTGAGGAGGAAGCCCCCAGTACTAACACCCAGAAAAGGTTGCAGGTGTGGCCAGTGGCTTCCCTGGGTCCTCTGTGTGTCACTGCGGGCGGGTGGTAGTGTGAGGTGACCTGCTTGATCCCCTTTCCCATACTCCCAATGGGAAGTAGTTTTCAAAAAATGATTTTCTAAACTCCCCTGTTTGTGGCTGGAGGGCTGACAACCCTAGCAACCTTTGCACAGTCCTGGCTGTTGGCAGGAGACTTCCTGAGTGTTTATCTGTAGTTCCTAACCCAGCATTGCTCTGTTACCTGGCCCTGTCTTGGGTAATAATGTCACTGCATTATTACATCGGGCTCCTGCTCTTGTGTCTTCCCTGCCTGTTGTAGCTGTCACTTCCAGTGGTTTTGGCCTCTAGAGTTGAAATCTGTGATCTTTCACATGTCCGTGCTGTGTTAGTTCCCTGGCCTGTTGAGTTCTGGGTCTCCTCTCCAGGTGCCAGGGTTGCGAAGTTGTCCTGTCGGGCATCGAAGAACAGGTCAGCCGAGCCAACCAGCACAAGGAGCAACAGCTAGCCCTGAAGCAGCAGATAGAGAGTGAGGTGAGTGGGTGCAGGAGGGAGCAGCCAACAACCCTCTCTTTAAGTTAACTAGAACCTCTGCCCTGGGGTTGTTACAGTCTTTACTGAAGTAAGGCACTGCCGGTTCCCTAGACCAGACAGCCCAGGGCCTTGTGCCTGAAGAAGAGTTCCTAAATCAGCTTAACACTCCTCTGCAGTACAGGGGCCTGTACAGCTGTTGGCTCTTCTGGTTGATGTGAGCTTGCATCTCCTGGCTCCAGGGCTTCTTTCAAACAAAAACCCCAAAGTAAAACTAAAAAAAAAAGGGGGGGGGGCAATAAAACATAGCCAAAACAAACTAAAAACCCTGGAAAATCCTTGGTTCTTGCTTTGCTGATCTTGCAGGTGGCAAACCTGAAGAAGACCATTAAAGTGACAACAGCAGCTGCTGCAGCAGCCACATCCCAGGACCCAGAGCAGCACCTGACAGAGCTCAGGGAGCCAGCCCCAGGCACCAACCAGCGCCAGGCGAGCAAGAAAACTTCCAAAGCCAAAGGGTGAGGAATGAGTGTGTGTGTGAGCATCAGCAGCACCTCTCTGTGTGCACTTAGAAAGGAAGTGAGATATGGGCCTGAGTGTCCACTCTGATTTATTTTTCTCCCATCTCCACAGGCTCCGGGGCAGCGCGAAGATTTGGTCTAAATCAAACTAGTTGGATCTCCCTTCACAACTGGGAGGGTGAGAGGAAGAGATTTGGGGGATGGAGGGGTAGCAAGGGTCCCAAGCGTGATGCTCTTCTCTGAGATCCATCTTGCCAGCTACTCATTTGCATGTTTGTTTTCTTTCCTATTTGCTTTACTAGCTCTACAGGCAGTGTCTCCCTCCTTTTCATCACAGCATTTCACACTCTGAGCTGCCAGTTGAACACATTTCTGTCTCCCCAACCTCTCCAGCCCAAGTCCCCAGGGCCACGTGTTTCTTTCTTTCTCTCCCTGGCTTTTGACAGGTCAATTTCAAGAGCCATAAAGGTGTGTCAGTCACCTTGGCACCCACAGGGCATCACAGAAGCTTGGGAAGAGGGTGCTGGTGCTCAGCAATCACTTTGGCTCTATGAAACCCGTGGGATACTTTGCTCCAGGATGCAGCTGCCATCTTTGATTGTTTAATCTTTGTTTTGCTAGGTGGGAGGGTAGTTTTTGAAGGGATTCTTTTAAAATATATATAA